CCGTCTAGGGGCTGGTCCTGCTAACCGCGTCCAGGTGCTTTTCCGTACGCGAGTTCGGTCTATCGGGGGTCCTGACCCCACTCTTGCTCTCACCCCCGGTCTACCGTCTCTTGCCTGCTCTCTTCTTTTTGTGCTCCTGCTCCCAGGAACTCCAAATGAATGCTCAAACATCGAAGCTATCACCAGCCCCTCCCTCGGGTTCCTCTGCTACCCGTGTAGTCTCCATCCCACCCTCATTGGCTGGGCCCCTGGATCCGCACATCCTACTCTTTGGTTCCAAGGCCGACTGGCTCCTCAGCATCCGGACGGGGGCTAGGGGAGAGGCTCGCCTCCTCTCTTTCTTAAGGTCCACTCACCCAAACGTAGCTTCACCCCCTTTTCACCTGGGCCCCGGCTCTCCTCACTCCTGTTTCGCTTAGCCAGCACACGGTGCCCTCCTGTTCTGTTGCCACCACGAAGTCCAATGGCTGGGCCGTGGCCTCAGGCCCCGATCCAGACCTGGGGTTGGCCCCCAAGGACTTGGCCTTGGCCTCAGGCCCTGATTCAGCCCCCAGGGGCTCAGTCTCAGCCTCAAGCCCCCATCCGGATCTGAACTTGGCCTCCGCCTCCTGTAGCGGGGTGTTTGAGTGTGGCTCCACATCTGGCTGGGCCTCTTTTTCAGGCTTAGGGAGCTCTGAGCTGGCTGAATCACAACTGGATTGTTTCATCACCCTGCAGAAAATAGACAACCCAGTATCATGGTCAGAGCCCCTGTTTCCACATATAGCACCTGACACGCGCATGCGTGCGCACACACACACACACACACACACACACACACACTCCCCACAGTACTTTGCTACACAAATACCCCTTCTCTTTCTCTCTCCACACTAACCCTGGGAATTCAGGGCCTCCAACTCTGACCAAATCCCAATCCTACCCTGCCCCACCCTACCAGGGTGCTCCTCAACAGTGACAAACTCAGGAATGCCATGAGCTCCTCACGGACTGGCCCCAAATCTCCTTCAACCCCAGTCAGCCCCAGGGACTCAGGCAAGGGACAGAAGGTCCTTGGAGGGGTAAAAAAAAAAAAAAATGGAAAGACATCCCTCTAGGGTCCCACCATCTCTCTCAGGCCTCGGCAAGAACATGGGAAAGCCCCATCATCCCCACTCCTCCTACAAGAGGGTTCCCTGGGAAAAGCAGAGGGTTCAACCTCCTCCCCTTCCTACCACTGCCACTCTCAATCCCCAAGGCAAAGGGAGGAGGATGTAGACGCCAGATCTTCCCCCTATGTCCACTCCAGTGCCCTCCACTCCCCTCCAACACATACATTCAAACATAAGCCAGAGGAGTGGACAGGTGGACAGCACCATTAAAAAATTTCAAGTCATTTCTCCCAGGCTAATCAAACCTGCCTTTCCCTTCCTTCTGCTGAAGTTTGTCCTCTCCTTCTCCATAGGAAGACCTGGTTCCACTCTAGGGCTAGATGATTATTTGGAAAAGGGCTCTGTTGGAGCTCCTGCAAACAAGATGTGCACAGGGATCACCGATGCCCCCTTCCCCCATTTACCTTCCCTACAGAGAGTCTCTGTGTTCTCTCTCTCCCTCTGTTCTGCTTTTAGTTTCTTCCTATAATTCTTGCTCTGTCTCTTGCTCAATACTTTCTGTCCCCTTCCCCTTCTCATTTTTGGGTCAACTCCTATGGATCTGGTACCCTTTGGCCTCCAGCTCTTCTGTTTTCCCTGCCAGAGACAGGGCCAAAGAGAAAGGCCCCTCCCCAAGTCCTGAAGACGCCTCATTTCCAGACCTCTCTCCTTCAAACCAACCAAATCAACTAATCGTTATTAATTTTTATTTGACTGGGGGAGGGGCAAAGGGAGGGAGAGAGAAAGAGAAACAGAATTCAGGCTCCATGCTCAGCACTGAGCCCAACGCAGGGCTTGATCCCAGGACCCTGGGATCCTGACCTGAGCCAAAATCAAGAGTTGGAAGTTCAACCGACTGAGTCACACAAGTGACCACCCAAATCCTCCAATTAAATCCTCCTCCTCTCTTTCAGCCAATTATAACTGTCCCTTCATATAACCTACATTAAGCCTCATTAACCAACATCCCAGGGGACACACATACCAGCTACTTTGTGAGAGATAATATGGTGTTGGTTGGCTATTTATTTATTGTTAACAGGAACATGACCTAGGCTTGGGATAGGGGACAAACAATGACACCAAGGAGTTTAGGGATGATCTTAGCCTCTATGCCATAAACATAGCTTACATGAACACAGCGTGCCTGCTGTACAGACAAAGCTTTGAAACAAGAGCCCCATCTCCCTCTTTCTTTTCAGTCTGATGCTGATGTCTAAGGCTCTCCCAGGTAAGCCTGGGTGAAGTAAGACAGCATCAGGCCAATGTCATCAGAGGTGGGGGCAGCACAGGCTCAGAGGATCCTAGAGCCCCTGCTAGAGTTGGGGACCATCAGGTTCAACCCACTTCTTTCACAATGAGGAAACAGACCCCCAAGGAGGCTAAGGTCTTGCCTAAAGTGACTCAGCTTGGGCAGAGCCAGGCTAACAGTTAAGTTTTCCTAGCCCCCAGGCTAGTGGTGGGGAGACCTCTTTTTGGTGTATATTTGGATCTCCAAACCCAGCCTGAAGAGCAAGGAATTACTGGGTCCTTGGCAGGAGTCAAAGGTCTCAAGGGCTGAGGGCTAAGAACCAGAGATGGGACCATGGGAGGAATCCCCACTACCCTCTGCCCATGTCAGCAGTTCCTATGCCAACAACAAGCCGGGGACCAGCTCAAGCATCAGATTCCTTGTGACAGGCAGGAATGACGAGGCTCAGAAGAGGTAAAAGCAAGTTAGCTTGTGGCTCCCATCTATGTCTCCAGGCAACCTCACCAGCTGTTCCTGAGTCCCTGGAAAATAACAAGCTGGTAGTTCTGTGCTGACTCCAGCGATTCCCCACTGCCCCAAAAAGGGACAGAAAGTGAGCAACTTGTAGACTGGGACACATCCAACGAATAATTCAAGACATGAGGTTTTGGTTACCCCTCCTGTGCTTTCAAGATGGGGGAGAGTATTTCCAAAGGGTGTGTCTATGCCTTGGATAAAGTGGTTTGTAAGGGGGTCACAGGGAAGAAGGAAGCGCCTGCAAATTCATCTCTTCCATCTTTCCCCCAGTCACTCTTCCACACCTGCTCCCTTTGGTGGGGAGGCGGGGGACAAAACAGTTCCAAATTCCTTAAGCCCTGGGGGAGGTGGGGACTGGGAAAAAAGCAGGTCGGGGGTTCCAGGCTAAGCCAAAGCTGCTGGCTGGCCCCACAACCCTGGCTCCACACGCTGATCCCTTCCCATCCCTCAGAATAGCGCCCTCCAACCGGGCTCCTTGAACTATCGCTCCCATAGGTGTCTAGGCAGAGGAAGGGGCAGCCCTTTGCGTCCAGGGCACTGTGGGAGATGTAGTTCCGGCATCTCCTGGACCAAGCTCCAGGAAGAGGGGCGGCACATCCCCTCCATATCCTCCACATCCTTGGATCTATTCTTTCAATCTTATAAATATAAACGATCGCTCTGGGAGGGGATGATTCTAGTCCTCGCTGGGCATGCTGGGAGCCCCCCCTACCCCACCTCCACCGCACCCCACACACCTGAAATATTGATGCCCTTGAGGTCGACAGCTTCTCGGAGCTGGAAGAGGGAGCAGAGAGCGGAGAGGCGGAGACAAAGAGACGGCAGTTACACAAAGCGCCCAAAGAACAGAGCGGGAAGGACAGGAAGGGAGGCAGGAAGGAGACAAAGGCGGACAGGGGGATGCGAGGCAGAAGAGGATGGGAGAGGGGAGTGGCAGCAGGCATGGATATCAGACACAGACATGACACCTCGTGACTCAGGGCCCAGCAGATGCCAAAAAGAAAGTCCTAGCGCTGCACCCCCTCCCCAGAGAGACCATAAATAGAAAACAGCGACACACCCCCTTCTCCCCACGGTGTGCGATGGGGGAAGGGGTCAAGGGGAAGAGAAAGCCAGAAAAGGGTCTGGAAGAGAACAGAGACCTGGGGGCAGAGGCAGGGAGACCAGATAACATGGGGCAAAGGCAGGGGGTGAGGAAGATAGACCAACGAGCAGTGTGTGCGTGGGGGTGGGGGGAGGGTGCTCCAGGGCCACAGTCATGGACTGGGTGGGGACTGTACTCGGGGGTCTTCCCCAGTTTTCCCTCTGCCCCGTTCCAAGAGTGGGGGTGGGGGCGGCAGGCGCGCGAGATTCCGAAGGAAGCTGTCTACTTGACAGGGGTCCCTCTGGGCACCAGGCTCTGGGGACAGGTGGGAGAGCCATGGCGACGGGGTGGGGGAGGGATGACGGACAGGAAAGTGTCTCCGAACACCTAGGCGAAGTCCAGGTCCCAGTTATCTAGGTCACCGGACAGGGAGAGGTTGGGCTGTAGGGGGCGCAGCGGCTGACTTCCCCCGGCGGGGGTGGGGGTGGGGGTGGGGGGTGGGGGGGCGGTGGCCTTCTGCTGCCCCCATTCCGCGGTGGAGGAGCACGCCAGCCCCGAGGCCCGCGGCCCCCTACCTCGCCGGAGCCGGAACCGGGGCGGGGAAGCCCAGACACGGAGCGGGGCCGGCCACGCGGACAGCGAACGGTGCCGGTAGAGGGGGTCCCTTCGGAGCCCCGAGGGTCGAGCTCGGGTGACGCGCGGGGACCGGAGCAGTCCCAGCTCGGAGTGAGAATGTAGGGTCTGCGCTGCGGCTCAGTTCGGCACGCGGGCGCGAGCGGGGACATTCGGGGTTCGGGCGCTGCGGGCACCTCCCGCGGCGACGCTCCGCCGGGCCGGGCGGCGGCTCCGAGGGGCGGAGACCCCAGCGACGTGGAGGAAACCCGGCCCGGATCTGGAGTGGACTCGGGTGGCCTTGGGGAGGTGCGGGCGGAGAGCAGGTGCCCTGGCGGGGCGGGGCGGGGGGGGGGGGGGTTCGTGTGGACCTGGGTGGCGGGCGCAACAGGATAGCCTCAAGTCTGGCGGACGAGACTCCGCCCCTTGTCCTGGCTAGGGAGCCGGACCTTAGGTGGAGGTGCCTTGGGTTTTTTTTTGGGGGGGGGGGGGGGGAAGAGGGTACTGCTGGCTTAGTTATTGCCCCCACGTCCCTAGCACCTCTATGCTCTGTCCTGAAGCACCCCCCTTCCCCAATCTCGCAGTCCTCCCTCCGACCTCCCGCCGCCAGATAAGTCAGAGCGACTGGAAGGGGCACGCAGAGCCCTGGGGACCAGGTCAGAGAAACTGATCAAAGAAATTGGAAAGTCGTGAAGATGGGGATGTGAGGGGACACCAGGAGACAGAAGCAGAGAGGCGGAAGGAAGCAGAGCGAGGCCAAGACCGGTCAGAGTGTCCACCCCTCCCCGGGGGGCGCAGGGTAGCCTCGTCCCGCAGGTGCATCAGAGGCCTCAGCTCACGCTCAGCGGCTGGCCGGCAAGCAACCAGGCCCCCACAGGGAAGCACGCAGAAAGAAAAACTCCAGGTACACCCACGAACCCACTCCCTCACCCCCAGCACACGAACACAGACCTCTGCGCGCACGCACACGTCCTGGGGATCTCCGCACAGGCTCTGCACCTCGTGCTAAACCGTGTGTGTGGGGGAAGGGTGGGAAGAACAGGCAAATGTGGACTTTGAGCACTGTCCCCAATGAGCTGGTGGCCTTGGCACTTAACTCCCGAGGGGCTCCTTCCCACCCTCCCCCCCAAAATGAGGTAAAAAACATCTGCAGTTCTACCCTGTAAGGAACCAGGTAAGTGATGGATGGGGAAAGCCCTTCAGTGACTGTAAAATGCTGCAGGGATTATTAAGGTCTGTTAGGGGTGAGAGCCCCTCTCCCTCGCCCTCCCTCCAGGGTCTACCCAGCTCTCGTGCTCCTCCTGCCCCCGGAGTTCATTTCTCACCTATCTCATTCCACTTTTTTTTTTTTTAATTTTTTAAATGTTTATTTATTTATTTTGAGAGACAGAGACAGAGCACGAGCAGGGGAGGAGCAGAGAGAGAGAGACACAGAATCCGAAACAGGCTCCAGGCTCCGAGCTGTCAGCACAGAGCCCGATGCGGGGCTCGAACTCACAAACCGTGAGATCATGACCTGAGCCGAAGCCGGGCGCTCAGCCGACTGAGCCACCCAGGCGCCCCTCATTCCACTTTTTTTACACTTTCCAATGGGCTGTGATCAGATGAAGGTTCATGTCGTGTTCCTCGGCTCCCACACACATGGCCACACAATAAGTAACTTGACAAGTTACTCAACCTCCCCCCCCCCTTCTTCTTTTCTTAATAGGACTTCTCCCCATTTCTATATTTTTTTTTCTATTTCTGGGTTTTAAAACTGTTAACACACTGCACATCTCAAAGCCGCAGTTCAGGTGGAACTTGCTCAATTGTGGGATAGCACGTCAAAAAGTTAGAGGAATTGGAGGAAAAAAATCACTAGTGGCAGGCGGTAGATGCAACCAGGCTCTGATCCTCCCCCTTTTCACCAGAAGCCCCGCCTTCTGCTACCAGAAACTCTGGGATTGGTCCAACGTCCTCCACTTCCAGTTCCGTCAACCAATCAGAATAGAAAGTCCCCCTTCGCCCGCCCCGCAAACCCTTCAAGTCCAAACCACTCTGAAGGAAGAAGTCAGCGCCCATTGGGCCGATCAAACACCGTCAGGGTCCCAAATAACCAAGCTCAGACTTCTGAAGTCTCAGCTCCCCAGAGGGGCTAGCGGGTGGTAGTGGTTGGAAGATGACTAATCTCCTGGCTGCCCCTCCCAGCGAGGGAGAACAGGAGGCTGTCAGCATCCTTAAGTGCTCTGAGGATGTTGGCAAGTGGGACATCACCCTGTGCCACTGTGCTTTAAAAGAGGCCGAGGTTAAGACCGGTGGGGATGGAAGAGTGCTCTGCTGGTAGAGGTCTGGGTTCCAGAGCCACCCTGTACCCCCTCCTGATGGTGAGCCACAGCACCACCCAGAATGTTTACAGAGCACTTTGACTTAATTCTCACAGCACTGTAGGATGGGTGAGGCTGTATAGTGGGGGTTCCGAGAGGTCGCATGATGTGGGCCAGGGACGCTGGGGGGTTTTCTGACTGCAAATTCAGACCCCACTGCCCACTCACCTCTCGGAGGTGCTTTGCAAGCTGTAAAGCAAGCAAATGCCAGTGCTGTTAATGCTGGAGATTTCCCTTAGTTGCTCTGAATTTTGTAAACACCTATACCTTGGGGTCCCTATTGGCTTTGGCCCTCACGCTGGGCTTGCTTATTTGGGCCTTTTATTTGGGAGAGCCTGATGTTTTGTTTGCCTTCTCTCAGGGCAGGTGGGCCCTACTGTCAGCCGGGCAGTGCTGTCGCTGTCTGTCATTTCTTTTGGGCCCATCCTCTGCCGCAGGGGCCTCCCCATCCTTGCCTTTCTCTCCCACCCCTCGTCCCCAACAGACCACCTTGGGTCTTCCTCCCTACCTTCTGAACACCTCCGCACCCCAGGATTCTTGTGTCCAGGACTTTCTCCTCCAGAGTTTGTGGGTTTTGACTGTTCTCCTCTCTGACCCCTCTTCACCCTCTGACTCTCCAAGCTGTGAGATCGAGGCTGAGACCCCTGCCCTCTCCCTGATCCAGTGACCCCTCTATCTGGGCAGTTCCCTAATCCACAAGTCAGGTCTTGACTTCCCAGGTCGTCTCCAGCTATCTGTGGGATGACATCAATTGGCTGATAGCAGAGAAATAAAATATGCTTAACAGGAACTGAACTGGGCACCTCGTATGCTTTTTGTCGTACAACTTTCGTGACCAGCTCATCTGCAGATAAGGAAGGAGACCAAAGATCAGAGGGTTAAGTAATTGGCCCCAAGTCACAGAACCAGAGAATCCATAAAAGTCTTGCTTAGGATTATAACACTGAAAGGAATCATCCAGATCATCTCAGAAGGCAAAGTATCACAGATGCCACATACTCCTGGTGACTCACGGTTTCCTCATCTGTAAAGAGAGCATAGCACCTAACTTCCAATAAAGGTTGAATAAGATAATGAATGAAAAGTGCCTGACATTGCATAGAAATTCAATTAAAGGTAGGTGTTACTATCTAGCTAACTGGAACAGCAGTTCTCACATGTGGGGCACTGTAGCTTATACACTGGAATTCACACATAACCAGAAGCCCGTCTTATTTATTCTTCCTTTGGGGCTGTCAGATGTTAGGAACTTCGTGAACCAGGTGATAGAAAGCTGGGAGACCATTGAGCTTGATGGTGAACTCTTTTTAGAACAAGGCTGATGTTACAGTTAACTTTATGCCTTTGGCACTTTGTTCAGGTCTTGGGCACATAGTAAGTCCTTAATAAGTATGTTACGAATGAATGAATGAATGAATGAATAAATGACTTCAACCTGTTTCTAGAGTGGGGTAAGGCAAGACCACCTTTGACCACTTATCAAAGGTCACCCACTGGGTAGAGGTAAGACCAGATTCCTGGTATCTTAACCCCAAGCCAATGCACAGCCCAGCCTCACGCTACATTTCTAAAGGGTCAGCGTGATGGCTCTGCTTAGAAGTCCCTGAAGTTCCGCCTCGTCTCTCCCCACTCATCACCAGGTTCCTCTCTCCAGTCCACATCATGCAACACCAGTAACATCTGTCATTCATTCATTCGGCAAACATTAATGTCATCTTCTATGGGCCTGGTTGACCCACTGCTGCTCTCAAAGACTTCAGTCGAGTTAGCCATCCACTTTTATTCTGGACAATACCTAATACAAACAAAAACAGAACAGGGGCACCTGGGTGGCTCAATAGGTTAAGCGTCCAACTCTTGATTTCGGCTCAGGTCACGATCTCATGGTCGAGGGATGGAGTGCCACATTGGGCTCCTCACTGAGTGTGGAGCCTGCTTGGGGTTTTCTCTCTCCCTCCCTCTTTGCCTCTTCTCTACTCACATGCACACCCTCCCTCAAAATAAATAAATAAACATTAGAAAAAAAATAGGACAGTACAGTGAAGCCCCACTAGCCTATCATTAGCTTCAACAATTATCAACTCATAGCTGATATCGCTCTACACGGCAAGCATCCCAATATTTTGAAACCAATTTCAGACATTGTATTGTTTCACTGGTATTGCAAGAAATCATTTTAATGGCATTATCACAGTGATATGGATGGAATTGTGCCTTCCCCCCAGTTCGTATGTTGAAGCCCTAACCCCTAATGTGACTGTATCCGGAGACAGAGCCTGTAAGGAGGTAATTAAGGCTAAATGAGGTCATAAGGGTGGGGCCCAAATCCCACAGAATTATAAGAGGAAGAGACACCAGAGATTTCTCTCTACCCATTATGCATTTGCAGAAAGAAAGGCGGAGGAGGCCGAGAGAAGTTGGCTGTCTACAGTTCAGGAAGAAAGTTCTCGGGGCGCCTGGGTGGCGCAGTCGGTTAAGCGTCCGACTTCAGCCAGGTCACAATCTCGCGGTCCGTGAGTTCGAGCCCCGCGTCGGGCTCTGGGCTGATGGCTCAGAGCCTGGAGCCTGTTTCTGATTCTGTGTCTCCCTCTCTCTCTGCCCCTCCCCCGTTCATGCTCTGTCTCTCTCTGTCCCAAAAAAATAAATAAATGTTAAAAAAAAAAAAAAGAAAGCTCTCGCCAGAAGACGAATCTGCCAGCACCTGGATCATCACGGACTTCTAGCCTCAGAACCATGAGAAATGAATGTCTGTTGCTTACACCCTGTGTGTGGTGTCTTGTTATGATGATGCCTGAGCGGACTAAACACACACCTAAAACCCTTCCTCCCTCCCTCTCCCTTTCCTCACTCACTCTAGGGGAAGTCAGCTTCCTGGTCTTGAAAGACTCAGCCCTGTGGAGAAGCCCATTCAACAAAGACCTGAGGCCTCAATCGAACCACTGGGAACTGAGTCCTGTCACCAACCATGTGAGTGAACTTGGAAGCAGATCCTTCACCCCCAGTTGAGCCTTGCGATACTACAGTCCTGGTCAGCAGCTTTAATGCAGCCTGAGAATTCTAGACCAGAATCTCCCAGCTAAGCCCGAAACTATGCTACAATAAATGTTTGCTCTTTTAAGCTGGTAGGTTTATGGGTTATTTCCTCTGCAGGAACAGGGAACTGATGAAGTTGATACATATTTTAGACTTATTTTAATCTACACAGTTCCCTTCCACCTCTCCCTTTTTGCAACTATTTGTTGAAGAAACAAGATTGGTTGTTCCCTATAAATGTCCTCACCGTCTGGATTATGCTGATTACACCTCCATGGTGTTGTTTACCATATTTTTCTCTCCTCTGCTTTTCCTGTAGGCTGGGAATTAAATCAACATGCCCTGTCCAGTATGGTAGCCATTAGTCACTCGTGGCTATTGGGCATCTGAAAGGTGGCAGGCACAACTGAGGAACAGAGCTTTTTATTTCATTTCATTTGAATTAAAATTTAAAATAGAGGGGCGCCTGGGTGGCGCAGTCGGTTAAGCCTCCGACTTCAGCCAGGTCACGATCTCGCGGTCCGTGAGTTCGAGCCCCGCGTCGGGCTCTGGGCTGATGGCTCAGAGCCTGGAGCCTGTTTCCGATTCTGTGTCTCCCTCTCTCTCTGCCCCTCCCCCGTTCATGCTCTGTCTCTCTCTGTCCCAAAAATAAATAAACTTTGAAAAAAAAATTTATAAAAAAAAAATAGATAACTGATCTAGTTATTGGAAAACTTGAAAAAAAATGTATTTTTAAGTCATGTCTGCACCCAACGTGGGGCTTGAACTTACAACCCCAAGATCAAGAGTAGCTCACTCTTCTGACTGAGCCTCCAGGCAACCCTGGAAAACTTTTAAGTATGTTCAGAGTAACTTTTTCACTTGTGAATTTTACAAACTTTAAATATGGACCAAACATTTCCAGTGGATGTTTAGCGTCTAAACTGAAATATGTTCTTTTTTTTAAATTTTTACTTTTATTTTAGAGAGAGACAGAGAGTGAGAGAGAGCAGAGGAGGGGCAGAAGGGGGGAGGGAGAGAGAATCTCAAGCAGGCTCCACACTTAGTGTGGAGCCTGACGTGGAGTTTGATCTCACGACCCCAGGATTTCGACCTGAGTCGAAATCAAGTCAGACGCTCAACCGACTTAGCCACCAAGATGCCCCTAAATGGAAATATGTTCTAAGTGTACAATACAAACCAGATTTCAAGGACTTAGCCCCAAAGGAAAGTATGTAAAATATCTCATTACTGTTTTCTTATTACACATTGAAAGAATATGTTGGACATATTGGGCTAAATAAAAAATATTATTAAAATTAATTCCACCAATTTTCTCTTTATCATTTTATTGTATTATTTTATTTTAATCTATTTATTTAAGTAGGCTCCACACCCAACATGGGGCTTGAACTCATGATCCTGAGATCAAGAATCACAGGTGTGGGCACCTGGGTGGCTCACTGGGTTAAGCAACCAACTTCGGCTTAGGTCATGATCTCTTGGTTGGTGGGTCCGAGCCCCTTGTCAGGCTCTGTGCTGACAGTTTGGAGGCTGGAGCCTGCTTCGGATTCTGTGTCTCCCTCTCTTTCTCTGCCCCTTCCCCGCTCATTCTCTCTCTCTCTCTCAAAAATAAATAAACTTAAAAAAAAAAAAAAAAAGAATCACACGCTCTACCAACTGAGTCAGCCAGGCACTCCTCTTGCTCTTTTTAAAGTAGTTACTAAGAAAAGCTTAAATCATACATGCACTTTTTTAGGAAGGACTGTATTCTTCCATCAAAGGCTCAAATGTAGTTTATCTTGTTGGAATCTTACCAGATGCTGTCGCTCAAGACTTCAATCCAATCCGTTATTAGGGCCTGCAAAATGTTGATACTCTTATTCTGTCATTCTAGGTGTTTCTGTGTTTGTTTTAACTAGTTGGAAAACACCTATAAAAGAAAACTTATTCTTCTGTGCTCTGATTACCCTGAGGCATAGTTTGTGAAGGACAGCCAGGATGAATGCTTAAAATGTTTCCTTTTATTTGTTAATTTTCAAAATAACAAGTTGATGCCTTAGCAATTTTCAGTGGTGATCAACTCTTCTTTTTAGAACCACTATGAACTCATGGACTTTTAAACACGTTTAATGTGATACAGTTACTGTCCCTTCCTGATGCCTCAAGGTATCCAACTGTTCGGATAAACTGGTGCTTTACAGTGACACAGAAGGGTCATGAGCGATCCTTACAGAGAGAGTTACCGGGATGCAGAGGTGGGATGGGCTGAGCCTGCCTGGCAGGCTGGTAGGTTAAGGGAGGTGTCCTGGAAGTGGGACCTGAACTGAGCAGTAAACATTCCCCCCGCAGAGGATGAAGGACAAGGTCCCGCCAGCAGGAGGGGAAAGCGAGAGCAAAGCCCGAGGCAAGCAACAGCCGGCTTCACGAGAACAAGCAGTTCTGGGTTGCACGCATCCATTCGGTAGGTAGGGGCTGGCCAGCAGGGGGCGTGTGGTGGAGGGCGGGGGGAGGCAGTGGGCAGGGGAGGGAGGGAGAAGGGAGGAGAGGGAAGGAGAGGGGAAGGGTTTTAAGCAGGAGTGACACATTTGCCTTGCGAGTAGAGACAGCCCTCTGGTGGCCACATGGAGGATAGCAGGGAAGGAAAAAGCCGAGAGCAGGCAGAGAGCCGAACTTGTGAAGTTTCTTGGGTTCGTGTATTTATAAGTTAGACTCTTCCAGATCAGGAGGAGAAATGACAGTGTTGGGGCTTATTATCCAGCTACACCGGAGGAGGAATGGCACAGGGAAGTTCAGTAACGGTTGAAAACAGAACAGACCCTCAGGACAGGCTAGTGATCCATGTTCTTTCTGTGCACCTGCCCGGCACACGTCCCCAAGGAAAGATCTCATGGCAAATGCTGACCACTTGCACCGAACATAATTTCTACAAGAGACCACCTCTGGATGGGTGCAGTCCCAGGCACAAGCAGAGAGGACTTTTGTGTGATTTCTTTTTTTTTAAGTATGCTCCACGCCCAGCGCAGAGCCCAGTGCAGGCCTTGAACTCACGACCCTGAGATCAAGACGCGAGTTGAGATTGAGAGTCGGGTGCTCAACCGCCTGAGCCACCCAGGCACCCCTGTGTGAATTTTTTAATTTTTGTTTTCAACGTTTATTTATTTTGGGGACAGAGAGAGACAGAGCATGAACGGGGGAGGGGCAGAGAGAGAGGGAGACACAGAATCAGAAACAGGCTCCAGGCTCTGAGCCATCAGCCCAGAGCCCGACGCGGGGCTCGAACTCACGGACCGTGAGATCGTGACCTGGCTGAAGTCGGATGCTCAACCGACTGCGCCACCCAGGCGCCCCTTTTTTTTTAAATTTTTTTTTTGATTTTTTTTTGATTTTTTTTTTTTTTGAATTTTTAAAAAACACCTGTTGTGGGTTGAATTGTGGCCCCCTGCCTCAAAGAGATATATGGAAGTCCTAACCCCTCCTACCCATGAAAGAGACCTTATTTGAAAATAGGTTCTTTGCAGACATAATCCTATCAAGCTGAAGTCACCCTAATCAAGTATGACCGGTGTTCTATAAGGAGAGGGAACTTTGGACACGACACAGAGGGGAAGGCCGTGTGACAATAGAGGCAGAGACTGGGTGATGTCGCAGCAGCTGAGGTTGATGACACCACCGGGGGCTGGAAGACGGGAAGGAGGGTTTCTCCTCTACTGGTTTCAGAGGGAGCAGACCCTGCTGACACCTTGATTTTGGCCTCTGAACAGTGAGACAATAAACTTGTTGTTTTAAATCACCAGATGAGTGGCACTTTGTTACAGCTCCCTAGAAAACCAGTATAGCTCCCTTCCTTCCCATGATGGGTACGCTGCCCCCCTCTCTGGCTCTGTGAAGGGACCCCCAAGCCCTCCCGGCCCTCTGCTGGGCTTCCCGGTGCTGGGCACAACCTGCAAACCGGGCGGCCGGTTCCCTCCACAGCCGGTCTCTTGGACCGGCTCCCTTCATCTGTTCGGCACTCGTCATGCACTAGGCGTGGCGATCGCCATAACGTGGTCGAAACGCAAAAACAAGCAAGACATACTTCCTGCCCTCAACGTTAGCATTTAGGAACATGAGATAAAAGATTATGAGCAAGCCCGATGTTGGGGTAGCAGAACACCTAATGTGATGGTGCCCGTAATGTGATCACGTAATGCAACGCAATGTAATTTCACGCAATGTAATTCTTGCGAGGTGGCTGTGGTCAGGAAAAGATCTTGTGTCGAGATAATAGTGACACCAGCTGATGTTTGTTGAACACCCTGCCAGGTGCCACGCTAAGCCCTTTGCATGTGTACCTCATTTAGAGCTCAGTGTGGACACTGTGGTGTAGATGACAGGATCAGAGCCTGCCACTATCCGCACGTGGTAAGTGCTGAACACCGGGGTGGGGGGCTTGGGGGGGGGGGGTTGGGCTGTGACTTGACGGTAGGGGTTCCATCTAGTCTCCAGGCAGGAAGGAGAGGCGAGTCAGGCCCGGTTGGGAAGCTGGACTGGGCTCTACCTGAGGGGGACCTCGAATGCTCTGCTGAGGATTTTTACACCTTTTAACAACAAAGATCCAAAGACAGTGGGGATCCAAAAGGGAGAATTACATGATGAAAACAGCATTTTAGGAGGAGCGTCTTGACAGCAAGAGAGGGTGTCGGATGGGAGACAAGAGACAAGACCCCTGATCGCTCAGGAGTGGTCCCAGAGGGAGTCCATGGAGGGATGGGGTCATGGAGGAGAAGGAGATGCTAAAAACCACTTAGCAGGAAGACACAAGAGGCCAGGAATTTTGAGTGCGGTTCTGGAAGGTGGGGAGAGAGGAAGGAGGTGAAGCCAAGACAGATGCATGAAAAACAATGGTTGGAAAGCAGGATGACAGAATAAAAATGGGGACCAGAGGACATTTAACCGTCAGTGCGGCTAGGATCAGAGCATGGCTGCAGAGGTTACTTGGGGAGGCTCCGGAGAGGGTAGGAGGTGTGCCAAGGCCTCCTGAAGCCTATGGCCTCCACCCAATCTGGGCTGGCTTCCAGGAGAGGAAGGATGCTGGTGGAGGTGCCTCCAGGGCCAACCCAGTTGTAACTGGATGTCTAGGCTTCTCCTGTTTCTCTCCAGCCTCGAGCCAATCCCTCCCACCTCCTGACTTTATTGGTCTTGGATTTCAGACAGGGGCAACAAATGATGGGGAATGAAGTCCCCTCCTCCCTCTCTCCCTGAGTCCTCAAAGGTCCCCTTCCTCACCTGTCACCCAGCCCAACCTCCCCTCCCTAGAGATAGGCACCTACCGCTCACAGGGGAGAATGGCAGGGGGCTTCTTGGAGGAAGGCCCATGGCAATCTAATCCCCATACTCCCAGCTCTTGGTGGCCAGTTCTCACTAGAAGTTGGTGCTTTTGTCCCTCGGGGGAAGAACCCAGAGAAAAACACATGTGATGCTACCCTTAAAGTTTGGGATGAGGCACAAAGGTCCTGCATTCCAAAAGGGGCCAGAGCAGATCACATGCAACGAGCAAGAATGCATTGCCCAAGCAAATAGTTGAGAAGTGACCCTTGAGTCCCTGACCCATGACAAGGATTGGACACAAAGGAGAGAAGTGGGCGGGGGGAGGGGGGCTTTCAGAGCTCGAGGGCAAGGCTTACTTCCACAAGATCGGTGACATAGGTTGCAAGGCTCAAAGAGCTCGGTACGCCCCTGTGTTTGTTGGATGTGCCCACAGAGAAGTCTAATGGCCAGACTGTAGCTGGCTGGAGGTTCCCTCCAGGAAAGAAGGAAAGACAGTGGTTGCATTGAGGTCAGCCTGTACTATAGTCGCATCTGGGCTAAGGGTGTTCAAACCTGGGGCGCCTGGGTGACTGGTTGTCAAGCATCTGACTTCGGCTAGGTCATGATCTCATGGTTTGTGAGTTCGAGACCTATATCAGGTGAGCTCAAGTCCCGCTTCGGATGTCAGACGTTCAACTGACTGAGCCACCCAGGTGCCCCTCTATAGTACAACTTGAGGTGGATGAAGAAGTTATTGCCTGAGAATGACCCAGATAAGTCACAGGAGTGCCCAGATTTTCATGCAGGAACAAGAAAAACTTCTTCCACTGAATATATTGTATAGGACAATATAGGACAGTGGGAGATAGGTATGGTTACGTCCCAATTACATTTCAACAAGGTATTCTTACGTCCTGGACACAGACGCACAGCCAGTCCGTAAATGGGACTGACATAGTCAGAGGACGCTATGACCACACGAGGTCCCCCTAGACTGTTCGGTCTTACCCTCTGGTTGGACCGATGCCATGCCCATCATGGGGATGACAATATTTTGCCAATCTCTGTTCTAAGCCCTTACTTTTTTTTTTTTTAAGTTTATTTATTTCGAGAGAGACAGAGACAGAGATAGCACAAGCGGGGACGGGCTAATAGAGAGTGAGGGAAAATCCCAAGCAGGGGCTTGGGGCTCAAACTCACGAAACTGTGAGATCATGAACCTGATCTCAAGAGCTGGACACTCAGCCGATGGAGCCCCCCAGGCGCCCCAGCCCTTCAATATTAATTCTTTGATCTTGACCGGAGTTCTGTGCTTGTTGGGTAACTGGGTTCCTGTTGACCTAATGCCGGGCTTGCAGTAGGGCTCAATGCCGGTCAGGTAGGTCCTTATTTCCCCTCAGCTCCCAGCTACGAGGAGACCCAAAGGACAGAGAGAGGGCGTGGAAGCGAGCAGTGTACCTTTCTCGTACCGCTGGAGATCATTTCCCTCCCCATGAGGCCAGATGCCCTTGACCAAGCTCAGCATTTGCTCACGCTCTTGCGCCAGGCATCCTGTCTTCTGCAGCCCACCCTGCAACGCCTAGCGCCCCCCCCCCCCCCCCCCCCCCCGCAAGAGCCACCCTCCTCAACTCAATCCTGAGACCCTGCGGCTCTCCGCGAAGCAGATGCCTTCATTCACAGAGAGAAAAGGGCTCAGCAAAGGAAGGAAACCTATGCACGATCCTGCAGCAGGATTAAGTCTTGCTGGGAGGAGAATTCAGGATTCTGACACCCAATCTAAGGCAGCAGCTCCAGGGGCGTCTGGGTGGCTCGGCCTGTTAAGCGTCCGACTTTGGCTCAGGTCATGATCTCGTGGTTCGTGGGTTCGAGCCCCGTGTTGGGCTCTGTGCTGACAGCTCGAAGCTTGAAGCCTGCTTCGGATTCTGTGTCTCCCTCTCTCTCTCTCTGCCCCTCCCCCGCTCACATGTTTTCTCTGTCTCTCAAAAATGGATAAATGTTAAAAAAAAAAAAAAAGATACTAAAGCAGCTCCGTGGCACGTGAGAGTGGGGGCGGGTTACCCACGGAGGCACAGCGTGAGCCCTGCAGGCAGCCGATTCCACACAGCAGTGGTGGGAGAGAAAGAGCTTTTATTGGAGTGGTGCAGCTGGCATAGGTGGAGGTCCCAGGGGGCTGGGGGCTGGGGGGCGGGGAAGAGGCTAGATAAAGGTGAGGTGAGTTGAGGCAGGGACGCCACAGCTTTCCTTGTGCTCCTCAAACAGTGTCTCCAGGGCCTGCATGTAGAGCCTGTGGTAGTGGTTGACCTCCTCCTCGGTGGGGCAGAGGATCTGGGGCACCGGAATGGGGCGGCCCACTGCAGGGAGAGGGCAGACAGGGGTGAGGCGCGGGATTGCCCGTACAGCTGACGGCCGCTCTCCTCCCCCAGAGACGGGCACTCACCCACGGTGGTGATGGGCCTGGCAAAGGGCAGCAGGCCCCAGGAGTTGGCCGAGAAGAGTCCGCGACCCCAGAAGATGCAAGGTGAGTAGCCCGTGAGCTTCTTGAAGGCAACCTGGCACAGGTATTGCCAGGAGCCGGGGGCAAAAGCCTTCAGATGGAAGATATCATTCTCTCCAAAGGAGTACACGGGCACCAGGGAGGCGCTGAGCAGGGACAGCAAGAGGGAGGACGCGTGTTCGGGCCAGCGGCTCTCGGGGAGCCCCCGGACGGGGCTGCAAACCCCTCCCACGCCTGGCTCCCCTCCCCGAGGCCTTTTCGAGCAAATGACCAAGAAAGATCTGGAAGAAAGGACTCACAATTCTTGAGAAATGATTGCGTACCGGGCCTTCCTCCCCAGCTGAGCCTCGAACCACATGGCGCTTAGGGCGCCCTGACCCCCACCCTGGTACAGACAAAACTCCTCATACAGCTCCCCCAAAACTCAAGTCCTAACGGCATGACCAGTGACACGAACAGTCTCTTTCTACTGGATTTTTACCATAGAGTGAGCTAGAGGAAAGAAAGTGCTATTAAGGGGCGCCTGGGGGGCTCAGCCGGTTGAGCGTCCAACTTTGGCGCAGGTCACGATCTCACTGTTTGTGAGTTCAAGCCCCGCACTGGGTTCTCAGCTGTCAGCACGGAGCCTGCTTCAGATCTTCTGTCCCCCTCCATTGCTGCACCTCCCCTGCTCTCACTCTCTCAAAATAAATAAATAAACTTAAAAAAATGTTTTAAACACATCCATGCAGAGGGGACCCAGGCAGCTCAAGCCTGTGTTGTTCAAGAGTCGACTGTATACATTTTCTCATCTAATCTTTGCAACCATAATATCGTTGTAAAATTAGGGATTAGTCCTATTTCGCAAGTAAAGAAACATGTCCGAGGTCTCGCCTTTGAGGTAGAGTCAGAAAGGGATTTGAACCCGGGGCTTCTGAGCACAAGGTCCTGCTACTCTTTCAGAGAGGGAAGACTGGCCGAAAGTGGGTATGGTGTTGAAACAGAGAAAACCCTCAAGTGTTGACATGAGAGGGGGTGCCGGCCGGGGCGGATGGTGGGGGGTGCTCAGTCTGTTGAGCGCCAGACTTCAGCTCAGGTCACAATCTGGAGGCTTGTGAGTTCAAACCCCGCGTAGGGCTCTATGCAGACAGCTCAGAGCCTGGAGCCTGCTTCGGATTCTGTGTCTCTGTCTCTCTCTGCCTCTTCCTCACTCACACTGTCTCCGTGTGTGTGTGTGTGTGTGTGTGTGTACGTCTCTCTCTCTCTCAAAAATAAATAAACATTAAAAAAAAAAGTGCTGACATGAGAGGCCGATAGGCGCAGGGCACAGTGTGGGCTCTGGGGACACAGAGGCCCAGCTACAGGGACCTGGATATGTAGGGACAGAGAGCGTGGGCCCCCAGATGCAATGCAAAATTCACCAGCACCCTCGGGCTGGGCACTTGCGCCCCACTCACCCGTGTCTCAGTGCCAGGCGCACGAAGCCTTTGCGATTCCGCAGAACGAGGTGGTGCGTCCCTGGGATTGCATACAGGGCCTCCTGGGCGCCCCCAATTATGATGACCACAGCCTGCCCTGGCTGGGGCTGAGAGAGAATAAAGTCCAGGCTCCTCCGATTCACAGAACAAATTCCTGCATGCATGTGGAGGTGGGGAGCAATCACCACGGGCTCCCGGGCTGCCTGGCCCCTCGCTCACCCTTTTGGCGCATGAGCCCCACACCCCCATTCCTTCCAAGTCTGCTGTCCCGTGCCCGTGTCAGTGTGACCTATAGTGCCTCTCCCCGCAAGGAGGCAGGACACTTGCCCCAAAAGCTACTCCTTGCCACCTACTGTGAGCCCGGCCAACATTACCGCTGGGTGCCAGGCCTGGCTTCATCTTCCACTTCCCAATCCCATACCGCGTCCTACGGTGAGGCGCTCCTCCCCCACCCTCGCCAGACTGCCTCCCACCCGCCCAGCTGGCCGAGTGGGAGGCCTTCTGGCCCGGTGGGGGAGGGCCGCCTCACCGTAGGACGAGGTATAGTCTCGGTAGATCGGGAAGTAGAAGATGACGCTCAGTCCCGCCGACGTGAGCCGAATCCCGGGGAAGTGCTTGGAGAAGTCGTTCATCTCCGTGTTGAAATTAGTGAAAGTTCCCACGCTCATGATCCCGTGTGGGTGACCACCGATCACATAGTTCCGGTCCGGGGGCAGCTCTGCTGTTTTCACCAGCTTGGGGGCGTCGGGCAGGAGGAGGAGGAAGAGGCGTGGACGGCAAGACAGCAGATGAAAAGAGTCTCCCTCCACCCCAAGCAGGCTTCAGAGTTCAAGGTCCTCCCTGGGCCAACAGCAGGGGCGGGGGCTACTCTGCAACACCATTCGGCCCTCCTTCCGCGTGCCCCATTGTCTGAGTTTAGAAAGCCCAGGGGTGCATAGGCAGGGGTGAGCGGGTGCGGGGGGGTGTGTGTGAGGGTGGGGGGAGAGGGAGGAGGCAGAGAGTCTCTGTGGATGGTGACCTCTCACCTTGACCGGAAAATAATCCCTTAGCTCTTTCCACATACTCCAGGTTTTCACGAACGCAAAGCGCCTTCCACCTTGGGGCAGAGAGGTGGGTGGAAGAACGCCTGGGGCGCTCAGCCACCCTTCTTCCTCCCCCAGGGCAAGTCCGGCCATGCTCACCTCGGTTGGGAGTGTCCCAGTCCAGGAAGAACCACACCAAGTAGAGAACAGAGAAAGACCAGAGTGGAGTGAAGAGGAGGAAGAGGAGGAGAAGGGAGAAGAAAGGACCTGGGTGAAAGATGAGAAAGAAAAGTCACTTCGCGTTTGAAGCTGGGTCATCGCACCCAGCGCCTGCTCTCCTCCGGCTCAGATCGCCCTGGTGCAGCCAGCCACCTCTGGCTCTCTCCTGCTCCCTCTGCAAGGGGGGCTCTAGCTTTCCTGCCCCCACTCCCTGCTCTCCTTGGGGACCCCAGGCCAGCAGGCCTCTCACCCATGAAGAGGAAAGACAGCACGAGCTGGTAGGCGCTTATTGCTTCCAGCCACTGCTTCCGCACGGTTTTCATGGCGAGGCGCAGCGGGGGGCGTCGGAGACTCCTCTGCCAGTAGCTCCCCTCTGCCAGCGGGGCTCCAGGGGCCCGAGCACAGACCAGGAAGGTTTGGGCACCGACGGGATGGCTTTCTCCCGAGAAGGCCAAGCCCTCGGGGCCCCCTCGGAACCGCGGGTGTGTTGTGCGCGTTTGTGGAGTGGACGGGGAGATCTTGGATCCGAAGCGCCAGTCTCCAGCATGATCTTTGAACTTGCAAGGAGGTCCTCGGGGTGGAGGTGGGAGGCGACAGGAAGTGTGCGAGGGAGGTGGGGCGTCGGTTGTGGGAAGGAGTCTCAGGAGAAGCTGGGGAGCCCGCCGACTGAGTCCCCGCCGAGGCCGTGCGCTCTCCAAGCGCGCGTCCCGGAGAGCGGGTCTCCGGGGTGTCAGGGTCATCCGGAGGCACGGCCGCGCAGGAACACGCACGAACACGCACACGTTGCAGCTCTGTTCCCACGTTTCATTTCCCTCCCCTCCCCAAGTCGCCGCGGGGACCTGCGTGCCCTGGGGAAGGCGAGGTGCGGGTGGGCGGGGAAGGCGCAGCGCGCCTTGTGCTCCTGGAACAGCTGCGTGAGCCTCTCCACCTAGAGCGCGGGCAGCGCGTCCACCTGCGCCCCGCTGAGCCGCGAGCAACGGACGGCAGGATTGGGGGGTGGGGCGGTGGGGGGGGGCACTGCGGGCAGAACGGGAGGTGAGAGGGGCGGTCGCGGGCACCCTCATCCCGTCCCCTTCCCGCCCACCCGCCCGACCGTGGGGGGGGTATCTGGCCCGCCCCGCCCCCCCCCCCGCCCCCCGCGGGGCGGGGGGGGGGGGGGGCGGGGCGGGGGGTTGTGGAGCGGGCGCGGCAGAGGTGCGGCCCGCAGCCGGGGACCTTCACCTCCCGGAGCTGGGAGCGCGCGGGGCCCGAGCTCCGGCGGGAGCCGGTGCGCGGGCGGGAGGAGGAGTGGGCCGAGGCCGGGGCTGCCCGCCGGTGCCGGGGGCGTGCGAAAGGGCGGGAGGAGACGCAGGCTCCCGTGGAACAGCCGCAGGGCGACCCTCAGCAGCGGCCTCGGCGCCTCCTGCGCTCTCCTCGCCAAGAGCCGGTAGGGCTCGGGAACTGCGGGAAGAGCTCGTTCTCCCCGAGAGAGAAGACAGGCCCCAGGAGAGCGAGGAGGCATGCCTGACTCTGAGTCCCTAACCCTCCCACCCCCCACCCCCATCCCTGACCGGGGCCGGCCCTCTGCACTCCTCCCGGACAGGGCAGCCCACGGGTGTCCCGCCCGGCCACTGGCCGCTTCCTCAGTGCCAACTTGACAAACCCCTTCTGATTCCGGATCCGCAAGGTTAGCGCACTCGCTTTTGGGTCCAGTGCTTCCAGGGGCCCTCCCACGGCCAGGACTGCCACCTGGCCGCCCTCAGGCCGGGACAGCAGATAGGCGGCGCTGGCCTTGTCAGAGGACAGCAAACCTGGGGTGAGGGCAGAGGCAGGGGGCCTGATGCCTGGGTCCTTGAGAAAAGGGGTAGGAGGACACCAGGCAGGTAGAGCTGGGACCCGGAGGGCCGCCCCTCCCCCCCCCGCGCCCCAGGGCAGGAGGTTGAAGTAGGAGTCGCCAGCTAGGACTGGGGGGTGCTGAGGCTGACCTGCCCCCTCCTCACCACTACACATGGTGTAGTCCCGGAAGCGAGGGAGGTGGAACCAACCTGACAGCCTGAGCAGGTGCGGCCAGAGGCCTGGAAAGAGGCCCAAGAAGCCCGTGGTCTCTGTGCAGAAGTTGCTGGCTTCTGCAGGGAACATACCCCCATCCTGGCAGTGAGATCAGACTTTCAGGGGTGACCAGAGGAAGAGTCGGTTCCAAAGCCTTGCCCCCACGCGGCACACTGTTCCTGGGTGCCCCTCACCAAGACAGGAAAGCCATCTTGGAAATGTCTCCAGATGGCCCGGTTGCCCACCCAGGCAGAGCAGTGGCCTCCTGCGTGTGGCCAGTCCCTGTCTCCAGAGAGCCAGACCAGGTAGAGGAGGGCTAGGATCCAGGCTCTGCCTAGGATCACGGGGATGAGCGCGGCCAGGCACACCTGGGCCGTAGAATGGAGCGGCGGGGGTGATACTCAGGACCCCCTCTTGCCTGTTGCATGGTTTCAGGCCCTTCTGTCCCGGCTCATTCCTTCTATGCCTTCGAGGGCCCCCAGAGATCCCTGCCCTGCCTCCCTCCTGGAAAGGGGAAAGCGGGTGCCAGGTGCTGGGACTCACTCACCGAGCCCCAAAAGAAGATCCACTGAAGGACGGCCACCGCTTGGAGACTCTGCAGGAGGCCGGCACGCTGTGGAGGGGTGATCCCACAGGGGCTGCCATGGGCTCTTAAGTACCCTCCTCATGGTCCAGCCCGCCAGCCCTGGCCCTTGGTCCTGGTTCGGCCCCCGTTTCCACCCTCTTTGCTGCACACTGTACCCTTGTGAGCCCCAGGATGAAGAGTTAACCACTCCGTGAACCCACGGGCCCGTGACCAATAGAACCAAACAGAAATGCCCAGGGGTGTGGCCAGGAGCCTGGGGGTGAGGAAGGTGTTTGGGCCTTGGGCCTTTGTGAATAGCCAGGCTGACAGAGGTCTGGGAAAGCGGGTGTGTATCACCAATGGCAGAGCTCCCCACACGAGTGAGAACAGTTAGAAAACTCTTTAGTCGCCCTGGCCGGCCCCTAAGGAGTAGCTCGGGCCTCCGTGGGGGAGACATCCCAGAGGGAAGGGTTTTTTGGCAAAGGCCAATGATTGGTGAGCCCCGAAGAGCACACCCTCCAAGGGTGCCTCACATTGCCATGGTCCTCCCCCCAACACTGGCCAGAGCTGTGGACTGCTAGCTTCTCCAGGTCAGGGAATGACACTTCTTAAATTAAGAAAAAAAATTTTTTTAGTGTTTATTTACTTTTGAGAGAGACAGAGACAGAGACACAGAGACACAGAATCTGAAGCAGGCTCCAGGCCCTGAGCTGTCAGCACAGAGCCTGACGCGGGGCTCGAACTCACAAACTGTGAGATCATGACCTGAGCCGAAGTCGGACGCTCAACCGACTGAGCCACCCAGGCGTCCCAGGAATATCACTTCTTTAGAAGAGTCTGACACAGGCCCCATTCGGTGCCTCTATCACTCGCTCTCCTAGCATAAAAGACGTTCCCACTTTCATCCTTCATGGTGATTTTCCGACTGAGGTCTCCCCCAGGCTGTAAGCAACCAGAAGACAGGTCTGGTTCCCATCAGCACAGCTCACCAGTGCCCAGCAGATAGGGGATGCTCAGTGCATGGGATAGGATGAAGCAGCGTCTTCCAGTGCCACAGACTGACACATCGTTTCTGTCCCTGTCCCCTGATTCACTCTCGGGCGGGGTTTCCCCCTCCAGGGACCTCACCAGGAGGTATTTTCTCCCGTCCCTACTCAGCCGTCTTCCGTCTGCAGGGAGACCAGGGGGGAGATGTGCTGAGAAGTATGGCCAGAGAGATGCTCAGTCCACATGGAGGGGTGACCAGCCCCACCCATCAAGAAGGCAGGCTTGGGGCGCTGGGGTGGTTCAGTCGGTTAAGCGTTCGACTTCGGCTCAGGTCATGATCTTGCGTTGGTGGGTTCGAACCCGGCATCGGGTTCTGTGCCGACAGCTCGGAGCCTGGAGCCTGCTTCGGATTCTGTGTCTCCCTCTCTCTCTGCCCTTCCCCCCACTTGCGTTCTCTCAAGATAAAGAAAATAAAACATTAAAAAAAAAAGGAGGCAGGGGGAGAGAGATATGGGATCCATGGAAGTTTCCAGGTTTCCACACTGCTCTACCATCTGCTTCTGCCTTTTCCTCTTCTCTGGTGTTTGTCTTTGGAGTAACTGCAGGCGTCCCCTCTACCCTGGTGGCAGGAGGGATCTGGGGTCAGTAGGGAGGCGAGAGACTTACAGGGACTCAAGGCTTACAAATCCTCCTTTATTGAGAGGGTGAGAAACAATAATTTATCACAAGGGGAGCCCTCAAAGCCTTCTCCCCAGGGGTCCTTGGGGACTGTGGGGAGGGGCAAGGGGGGGCTCCAGGAGCTTCCTGAGAGGTCCGCGTGTTGGGGGAGGGGGGGAGGCGACACATTCAGTCCCAGGCACACCGAACATCCGCTCAGGAAGCGAGGCGCCAGACAGACCCCCTTCCACGGAGGGGGCCCCCCCGGGAAGGCACGGCGGCAGGGCAGGTCTGGCAGAGTGGTTGAGTGTCAGGGGTCGACAAAGGACACCATGATGTAGCGAGTGCCCCGAGTGGTGGGCAGCCCCTCGTGGTAGTGGGTGAGGCGGCCAGGATGCAGGAGCCCCCAGCCCTTCCGTGGGGACGAGACTATGCAGTCGTAGCGCAAGAAGCGGCAGCCACCTCCCTGGAAGAGGACAGGGGACAGAAGTGGAGCGTGAGCACACAGGGGAGGGGGCGGGGCGAGGGGAGGGGGCGGGGCCTGGGGGGCAGACACCCACAAGGGGGTGAGAGGCAGACCAGGGAGGCCCAGGAGGGCGGGGCGGGCAGCCCGGCAGCGCCGCCGGGAGAGGACATGGGGGGGGGGGGCCGGGGGGGCTGACTGAACGGCGTCAGGGGCGGGACGGCAAGGTCCAGGGGCAGAGTGTGTGCGCGCGCGCACACGCGTGTGCGGAGGGCCCCCGGCGGTGCGGGCTCACCTCATAATCCAGGCCCTTGTGGTTGAGGGCGACGTTGAGAGTGAAGGTGGAGGAGTCGTGATGGGGCCGCAGAGATGGCTGCTCATCT